TCTGTCAGGTGTTGGTGGGTAGAAGGAGAGGGAGGGAAATCTGATTTAATGCTCTTCAACTGTTCAGATTATCCGGTGGATACAAAGAAGGCTAATTCACTGAAATGTGTCAGTTGCTGCTAACATGCACAATCCTATTAACACCATTTTACAGTTTCCTGCTTTAAGTTCCTCCTAAGCAGCTTTAATGATGTGAAAAGAGTCGTCCATGCATACATTGCATAAAGTGTAAATGTGTAATCTTCTTAGGTTTCTGATTGAAGTGAAATTATCGTTATTTAACCTCCAAGTTGTCATGGCTACCGTGGGCTAATACAATTTATTTTGCATATCATTATATACACATTTCCAAAAAAACATGTTGAACAAATAATTACATACATCAGCAACTCTGCAGAATTACTTCCATACAAACTTATATAAATCAAGTGATTTCACAGGAGATTGTTTTTCTGGTTTTCGTTTATTTATAAAGGCATGACAAGTACATCAGACATGCTAAAGATTTAATACAAGTTATCCACTGTGTTGGATTTTAACAGAGGGAGAGAGATTGGACTGATACTTTACAACAAAAAAAAACATTTATTACTTAATATGCTCATGTACAAGGGGCCCTAAATTAAATCCAAAGAGTAAAAATAAATCTATTAGATAATCTTTTAAACTTTCTTATCATCAACCCACCCCTCACCATACACATCAACACATATCAACCATTGTCCATAAAGCTCCTTTCTAACAAATTGTATATGTTGTTAGAATCATCTCAAACATTGGCTGAAATATGTAGAGAATAGCAACTTGTGTTGCTTGTGTGTGACAGCCAACTTAAAAAAAAAAACCCTGAAAAGACACTTTTAAAGAGAAAGCAGTTCAAAATGATACTGTAACACAACACACTATTGATTTCTCACAACAGGTGTAGATTCATTTACCCTGAAGTTCTCTCACAAAATTCACCTTTTCATTGCTATCTGTGAAAAAAGGTTGTGCATTGTTTTTGTTAAGAGCCGTGCCAGCCCCCCCCCCCCCGTCATTACTGTATTAAAGTGTCAAAGGCCGATAATGTTAACAACCACTGAAGTACTGTCCAAGTATACCACTATTTCTGCAGCATGACAGCTTCCCCAACTTCCCTTTGTCACACTCTATCGTGCTCCCACAGCATTTTTAAACTGGCAACAGCAACGTTTAAGACAAGTGGGAGTAGTTGTGATGTGAGAGTATCGGACAGAAATCCTCCAGCAGGTCCAACATAAAAAGACTATTCTCCTGTTTCTCAATTAATGACAATCAGCAGCCACTGGAGCCCTTTAAGGTTGTGAGGCAGTCCATTTAGACTTAAAAAAACAAAAAACAATCTCTTGATAATTTCAACTTTAAAAGTCCCAGCCCTCAATTATGTAGAGCCTCCATGTCAACACTTGGAGGGAAGAGGTCTTTGAGTTTAGCTCCAGTCAGACAAGACCGCGCGTTCCTTTAAATCTAACCGAAGAGGCGTATAAATAAGACATTTGTTCTGAACATCTTTGGCGGTGAAGATGGGAGCGACATCTTTAGGCATAAAAGGTTCAGAGTGTCAGTGACTCATGTTTAACCCTTTGTATGCTTTTAACCATGAATTTCAAACACTTATTATATAAAATGAATTTTGGATTTACAGACAGTTTTATTAAAGTTTTGGGAATAAGTACAGAAAGAGACATGAAACAAAACATTTCAAATCTGGCTTCAGTGTTTGAAAGACTGATTTCAATTACGTTTAGGGTTTTAAGAAATGGTCTTAACAGTCAGAAACAAAAAAAAGTACATTTCAACATACATGTTTTGATTAATTTTCTGGCTTTGTTTCAAACTCATCTTTCATTTAAGGTTTCAAAAAGTCTAAACAGATTTAAAAAAAACACAGCCAATAAAACTGAGAAAAGGTTGAAATCATGGCCCTGAACCAACCCACATTAACTATTGAATTCCTTCTACAATTATATTTGAACACATGATAAATATAAGCAGTAATGGATAATCAAAGTGTTATTATAATGCATCAAAGACATCGAACTCTACATGTATAAAAAGGTAAATGTGGACGTTTTTACTGCTCTGACTTGAACAAAAGAAATGCAGATGACATCATCACTGAGATTTCATTGTTCAATGTGAATGACTACAAAGACATCCTATTCTATCTAAGAGAAGATAACAAGCAACCACCAGAGCGGTGCCATAAGAATAACATCCAAACCGAGAGGGATGCAGCTTTATGTGTCTTTTGTTATAGTGACTTGTAAAGAGAGTGGAGGAGGTTATCTGTGCATGAGGTGCATAAAGGCGTGATGTGCATGAAGCTCTTACAGCACAAACTGTACGAACTCCATGTGCTCAATGAATTAATGAACACTCAGCATCACAAGTCAATATTTCATAGGCACCAACCATGTAACTTAAAAGTGAAATAGAGCGTAATGTTTGTTGTTCCTGAGGAAAAGAGTTCTACATCTTCTCATACCTGCGCTCTTGTTTATTCTCGTTCTAATTCAAAGTGAGTGGAGAACATACATTTAATTTAAACAAAGAGAAAATACTAAAATCATTCATGAAATATATTGAACATGTGTTCAAATCAGCCACACTTACCCAAATAAATGACACACGGAGTACATCCAGCCTTCATCATCCCAGCCAACTACCAACCTTTCATCATCATCATCACCTGGATTTAGTCACAGCACTTTAAACCATGATGATCAGATTCATCAGCACAGTCTCCATAAAGAGGCCTTCGGCTCCTTCAGTCATACAAAGCTCATGTTTGATTTAAATGTATCTATCATTTGAAACATTCAAAGATGTTTGGCTTCACTGACCTTTCTTTTTAGAAATGCTTGTTCAAAATTATGAAAAAAATAAAATGAAACAAGAACAGTTGTGATACCACAAGATTTCATGAGCGGTAATAATTATTTTAATTATTGATTAATCATCCTTTCATAACTGTGACCTTTATTGTCTGTGTGTTTGGTATATAGTCTGTGTCTTAATGTCTTCCTCTCACTGTCTTTTATGTCTCTTTCACGCTTATCTTTTCATCACACCAATAAAGTTTAACAAATATTGAATCATCTGCAAATTATTTTTACTCTAAATTGATAACTATGTAAAATTGTGTTGTTTCAGCCACACACAAATAAGACTAAATGGCTAAAATATTCAGTTTTCTCTCAAATCTGTTCATTCAAGAGGCTGAGCGTAATATTTAGCATTTTATGTCTTTAAAATGACCTGAATGATTATTGATTAGCAAAATGATGAGTGGCTGTGGAGACGTATTCTAATAATTCATGGATGAATTACTAAACATGTGTTTCATCACACACGTCATGTAATTTTTAAGATATTCATGGACATGTTAATGACTCTCATTAACATTAACATTAAGATGTGAACTACTGCTGCATTCAATAAAAGTGGTGAACAATAAATAAAAAACATTTTTATACAGATCATTTAATGTTGAGATACAGAAGCTTGCTCTCTGTTTGTAGCCGCTGCAGTCTCTCTCTCTCTTGGTCTCTCGCTGTCTTTCTCTCTCTTTAAGTTGTGTATGGTCTATAATATATGTACTCTGTGGTTCAGTCAGTACAAACACAGAAACACAGCAGAGCGTCACTATTTTTAGATCAAATCTGAAGAGGTACAGAGAGAATAAATGGCCGCCCCCTCCCTGTCCTACAGGTCTGATTGTGTTCTCATACAAAGTCAGGAAGCCGTGTGGCCTCTGAGATCTGCTTGTTGTGAGGAAACGCACTGCATGCTGGGCTCACGTCCAGGGCCAAGTCATACACATAACACAGGCCCCTTCTCCACCCACGCCTCTTCTACGTCAACCCCACACTGAAAGGATAAAAACACAGGCACCATGATGATCACCATAACAGTATTATTATCATAATCATTATGTCACTGATAAATGAGGTGTGCTTGCTGTACCCAGGTTATTTTCCTTTAAACTTAACTGTTTTAATCTTTTATTAAAACAAAAGCCCTTCTATGGGATGGGTGTTTCAATAGCATTCACTATAAACATCACTTTGGATGGCTGTTTTCAGTTTGTCAATGTTTCTGTCAATAACAAATAAACCATAAATAATAATAATGAAACAAGTAAATACCTTTTATTCATCCAACTATTCAATGCACATGAATTAAATCATCTATCTATCTATCAGCTATATTTTCTTAATCCTATATACATGTAAGATTTTTAGGTTACATCTCTCTCTAAATCTCACAAATTCAAAAAGGTCTGCACAACATTAAACATCTAAAAAATATAATACAATGAGTTTTATTTTGTTATTAAACTCTGAGAGCCTATACAAGGATGATTTAGATGTTTTTGTACATTTTATATTAAATTGTCAGTATATAATATAAATTATAGGCCTATCTTTAAATCCTCGCTTCTGTGTAAACTTCGAGGAAAACACATGATATGAAATGTGAGAAAAAAAAGCATAACTTAAATTAAATTGTCCTTTTAAATATTTGGTGATTAAGCTCTCAATCTTTAACCAACATAAAATAAATAGAAAATAAATAGAAATATATTTAGTTTGTGTCACAATAAAGTCAAATAAGATAATATATAAATTTATATATTTCTTTAATTTAAAGCACAGAGGCCTACATTGCGTTTAATATAGGGCCTATCATTCAGTGGATGACAGGGAAGTAAGGATTGTGACTTACAAAATCACAAGGGAATTTATGTTTGACTTTAAAATATTGTTTTATGTTTTACTTTAAGTTCAGATGTTGCCTATTGTAGAGGTTTTGGGGGAATGGCCATTCCCATAGAAACGGTGATGCGGAGGGGCCGGCGCTTCCTGCAACAGCTGAGGCGGATCTGCAGCCTGATTACGGCTCACAGCGGACTCCAACATAATTGATGACCTAATTGAAAAGCAGGAGAGGGAGGAGGCGGAGGAGGCGGGGGGGGGCTCACTCGCGGACAGGAGGAGAGAGAGACGCGCTCCAATGAGAAAAGTTTACTTGTTCTTCCCCCGCACAGTCCCACAGCTGAGGGCATTGATGTGAGCGCAGAGGCTTAGAGTTTTTTACGCGCACTTCTTTCCCCCCATCTTTCACCTTCACACACGGAGCACAAATCCACCTTCTCACCTTTAGTTTAGCGCGTGTCTGTCATTTCTTTCTTTTCCTTTTCCTTCCTTTTATGAATGATTCTCTCTCGCAATACTTCTTCCAAGATATCCTCGGATACTTCTTCTCCGCCGCAGTCCTCGTCCGCACGACCTCACCTCGGCACATCCTCTCTCGTCAAGTTCAAACGCCACCAAGACTTTCACGGCAGCTTTAGACGCACTTGGGGGAAATATCACGCCACGAGGAAACTCTTGATACTTTCTGAAGCAACCACGGCAGCGGAGGCGACCGACAACATGAGTCTCAAAGCTGACGCAGAGCCCAATAACAATGTCTCCATCGAGGAGGAGGTGAGTTTAACACAAGTTTGATCCCTCAGCTCTACCGAAACTCTGACTCGCTGTGTTCATGTTCAGCCACAGCCTAAAATAACAGTTTTTACAGTCAGATTATTACGACCCGTGTAAATTAGGCTTTCAAGCTTTTTATTCGGTGAAAATGTAGTTTTAACGTTGCTTTTATGTAAGAATGCGATGGATGTGATTATCCTCAAAACATGTCATTTCAAATTGCCATTTTTTTACTCCCTAAACTTGCTGTGACGTCTCATTTTAATCCAAATATTTCAACATAGCAGCCTACCACCAGGTGTAGAAGAGCCTAATTAGCTATAATGACCTCAGTAAATCAGAAACTCTTCAACCAATTAAACGTTATCTTGTCTTGCCTGTTATCGTTTGTACTCATATTTTTGTTTCAAATTATGCCAGGCTTTGTAGGCCACTGTAAACAAAATAAAAATGACCCGTGTATTTTTCTAGTTTTAAGTCAAAATTAAATTAAAGGCACATTCACCTGACCGGTCCAGAGATTAAAGATATAAAAAGCTGAAAATACGGCCTGAATCTGAATTGCTTATCATAAGAAACATGATCTGCGAGTGAAGAAGGCAAATTAAGAGTCTTGAAATGAGATGTCTATATCTGAATTAGTTAAAAACATTAAAGTAAAATGTTCTTGCTTCATTGGTAGGTTTTGTACTGGTTTCAAGCAAGCAGGCCATATTTTCTGTTTTATTTGTCTTCAATTAAGATGTTTATCTGGACTTGTCTGTGAATGTGGCTTACCTTGCATTTAACAGGAGATTTTTAACTAAAAATAGACAAATACACTTGCTATAATCACAATATCCACAATATTATAGTGTTTTAAAAAATCCAAATAAACTTCAATCTGAATTTAAAAAGGTGTAAAAGCCCTATGAATGTAATGTATAAAACACCCAGGGCGTTGACTTCTTTTCCAAATATACTTGAAGTATTTTTATCCCATTCCTCTGTATCCTCAGATCAGCGTTGTTGGTGTGTATCTGACTTCTAAAACATTTGTTTTTATTCACATACCATTAGAAAAAAAAAAAAGGTGTCATACAAACATCAGTGTAATGTCACTTTGTTACCCTCTGATTTGTGAGGAGAGTCAAAGCTGTCGTGATACCGAAACCTTAATTTAATGTTTAATCTGTTAATATATATCCTTTTTATTCTGTAGGTAATTTAATATATTTATAATTAAGAAAATGTAATAATGCCAACAATTGAATCAGCTGCGTTAATTGACTGCCCTCTTCAAGATCCATGATGTCTTTGTTTTTTTTTCCAGCAGTCACTCTCTGTGTGGCCGGCTGTATTTCCTCTTTAATGACTCCTTATGGAGACGCACTGAGGGGAGCGCAGGGCCTTTTGTTGCTCCTCCTTTGTTCCCATTATCTTCCTGCAAAGACACATGTGGCCACTTGACTTTTCTTAGCCTAATTTGCTTCAGTGTTTTCTTCTTCTTGTTATTGAGAACAATGATTAAGCAAACGGGCCAATACAGGTATTAAAAGCATTTTGAATCCGTTTGTAGAGACCATTTTAATCAAGATACAGCATCCCGACAGCCGGCAGTATTTCCATTTGTTTTAAACATTTCTATAAATAGTCTGATGCATTAAAAGAAACGATTGGCTGGACTTCAGCTCAGTTTAAAGGTTGTAAACTTCAATTCAAAGAGAAGCCGGTGATCACATTAAAACATCTCCATTGAGCATGTGTCCAGCTGTGCCGATTTAATATTGCTGTATGCTCTGACATGTAGAGGTCTGAGAAATGCTGCTGTGCGGCACCTGAAAAATGCCGGAGGGCTGGCGGGGCCGGGGCTGCAGGTCAGAGGAAGGAAATGGTGTCACGCTGTGCTCTGTTGTCCACTGCTCATTGCTGTTTCTCTGGCAGCCCCATTGTACTCAGGGCCTCCCCACCGGCTGGGAACTAATGGGCCTCGCACTGCATGCTTTATTTCCACGGCCACACTGTACGCAGCTTTCAGTATCCAATAATCAGGGGTCCTTGAAGGGGTCCAAGGGGTCTTCCAGCATGGTCATACGTTCACCGTTAAGCACTTCATACAGTGCAGCAATCACAGGATCTTAATATATTTTGTTTTTGGTCACATTTCATTCTTTTCAGTTCTGAGACAAATGTAAAATCTAAAGGGATTACTGTATTTTCACATCAGATGTATCAAATTCCTAATTTGGGATCTTGACTAGGACTTAAACAATGGTTCCCAACCTGAGGGCCAAGAGGTCGCTTCATAATTCGGAGGAAATGTATTTAAAAATAACTGTCTCACCTGTTCATAAATTGATGGCTCATGTTGATTAGCCTATGGAGTGTGTTTTTATAACTACTGTATCTTTATTGTATAACTTAAAATCATAGGAAGCCTAATTTAAAGCCTCATGGCTAACTTGGGTACATTTACATCTGTGTGAGCATTAAGGAAAATCCTGTAGTATGAAGAAATATCATCTTAGATTTTCTTTAATTACTGGAAATGTGTTCCTCTTTTTTAAGTCCTTTAATTTTATATCTATTAAACAATAATTCATAGAGGGGAATAAACAGAATTTTGTTGAGTCCCACAGCCCGTGAACAGACGGATGGTGTTTGGGAATATATGTGGCCCTTTCAAGAGCCAAAACGTTTGCAACAAGAGTTGAATCTCCTGCCGTTCCTGTGTAGAGGAAAGCTGCTCGATTTGATTTCGAGCTGCTTGAAATTGCATGCTCAATGGGTTTTCAGCTTAGAGTCAAGAAGGTTTGGATACAAGACCAGACTAACAACACATTTTACCCATGAAGAGAGGTGAAGCAGGTCAAGCATATTCCAAACTAAAGCATAGACTGTAAATGAACTGAAGCTGTGCGGTGTTTTCTGCTGCCACTTTTGTCTATGTTGTTGGTTGATGATAACATAAAAGTATTTTGAATGTATAAGTAAGTCTTCAGATCAATGTGTGTTTGTTATTTGAGTGGAAGGAGAAACATTTAGTGTATTAAGACATTGAATATTCGACTGCTCACTGCAAACTGACTATTTGCATTATTGGTTTTTGTTTGCAGGTACGAACGCTGTTGTCAGCGGCCTACCTGTCGATATCAAACCACGGGAACTTTACCTTCTCTTCAGACCATTTAAGGTAGGTAACAACATGACATACAAGTTTGGAAAGGCCTTGACTTTGGAGATTTCTTTTCTAGAAATATAATCTTCAATTTTCTGTTTTCATGCAAAGGTAGCTGCTGTTTGCCAGTTACAGGGATAAAGAAGTGCTAATTATAGGTGCTGCACACAGAGGTAGACCTTTGAACATTATAATCATTAAAAAGTAAGTGAGATTGAGGAGGTGTGTAATACACTGCAGTATAATTTCTCCTGGTAGCACACACAAAGTGTATCTGTGCTGCTCTTTTGTACATATTTTCATCAAACAGTCCCTCTGTTAGGTCTGGAAAGATTTGCATATATGGAAATGAGGCCACACCATTGTTTGTCTATTTCTCTGTTTTTGACCCGACTCCACCTCCATAAACACCCCTCCCACCCGTGTCCTAACTAACAAAATTGGAAGTGGTATCCCTCGCACATGGATGATCGTGTGGAATGTGTAAATGAGTAGCCATCGCGATTGGCCAACGAACCCTCTCCATGACCCAACTCGCACTCTGTGTGGAGATCTTTATTTCTCCTCGTTACAGTTGGAGATTGTGAAACCACTGAAATGTTTTGTTTTCTTAAGTCAATAACAGGTTTACCTTTTAGTCCATTTCTCTGCAGAAGGCCAACACAACTGTGTGGGAATGAAGCTAATCTGACTCAGTGACACTTTCAGATGAAATAACCTTTTTTTATTTCTGTCTTTTCTTCTGGAGAAACCTTTTAATATTGATTATTTTCCACCTCCCTTTAACTCCTAATATCTGATTTGGTTTGGGATTGTTGTTAAAGATTTATTACAGCCAGTTAAAGTTGTTTAATTTTCCATGAATGTAAATCAGGATCAGGAAAGATCCCATTTGTCTAGATGCTCTTCAGGCAAAATTCCCCTTTCTCTGGTAGTGCTCATATTTTAACCAACACTTGTGCTGTTTTTTACTCGGTTTATTTAGAAATCCTGCTAAATCGTAAACCAGAGCAAAACAGACAACCCTCAGATATCTGCTAAAAATGTGCTTCTTCTTTCATTGAACTAAGTGGTATTAACATTCTTAATTTAAGCCTTAAGGATAACATTTTCCCAAGTTTATGGATACTGCATTATTTGGAATTTTTTTTCTGTACCATAAAACTGTGGGTAACGACTGTCAGGGTCGACCTGAAGGTGCACACAAATGGGTTCCTCTTGATAAAGCAAGAAATGTTCATGCCTGACTTACTGCATGTGACTGCAGGGTGGATAATTGGCTATCTCTCTTCCCCCACAGGGTTATGAAGGGTCACTGATTAAGTTAACATCAAAACAGGTGAGGTGCCTCCCATAGAAGCTGTTCAAATACTTCACTGAAGAAATGGCCACCACTATTGGCTGTCTTGTTCATGTCAACATTAGCTTAAAAAGGATTAAATTGGTCTTTGTTGTTGTTTTGAGTGAGAACATATTTTCTACCTAGGCATAAATATAATGGCATAAAAAGATTGATTTGACAGAAATTCACTTTCTTGCAATATTTTCAAGGAAAAAAATGTTTGGCTTTAAAAGGAATTTATACCAGAGCACATGTAAGACATAAATAATCAATTGATTGTTTAACTAAAATGTAGGTTCTTGTATGTTAAAATGCTCGTGTTTGTGCTGGTTGTCACCGTTTGCTTCTTCCCTTTTGTCTTCTAGCCAGTCGGGTTTGTAACCTTTGACAGTCGCACTGGAGCTGAAGCTGCAAAAAATTCACTTAATGTAAGCGTTCACTTGTTTTTATTTCTTAACTTTCAGTCAGTGTTTCTTTTGCCCCCCCCCCCCTCCTTTTTTTTTTAAAAGATCATCTCCAATTGTTGTTTTTCCTAGATTTGTTCTAACCTTTGCTTAAACCTGAAGGAAAAAGTGATTGGCACTCCTTTCCCTTAAAATATCTCAAAGCCAACCCATTTTGTCTTTTTATAATTCAATGGCAGGGCCATTTTTGGAAAGAGACCAGAATCCCGTAGCCTTACGGTAGTTTACTTTGACCTTGATACACATCCCTTCTTAGTCTGATATAGCTTTCCTTATTTTGCATATATCACTGCTTTACTGTAATACTTGTTCCATAGCCACATGTGTAGTGTTATTTGGACACATCTTCAGTAGTGTAACCTCTTCATTTGGCACCCAGTAGCCCACATTGGCAGAATCTAACACTTCTCTCTCATAGCCTTTAGCCTTCTTATGAGCAGCACCTCTTAGATACACCAGCAGTCACACACAGACACACATACACACCAAAAATACTACTCACCTGCATGTGGGCACAACGCTTAGGGCACAAGAACACACGCAGGGTTAAACCCCCTAAAAGGATTTACACTCAAAGTCTCACCGTCGACCCTTTTCCTCATCTCCCTCCCCTCGTGGCTCATGTGACAGGCTGAACCCCTCCTCGTCCTGTCGCCTCTGCTCCTAAATTCATCATGAGGATCGGGAGATGGAGTCTGTTGAAATATTTCAGGATGTATCCTTAAGTCTTCCCTTGTTAAAGACTTTTTTTTTTATAAACACTTGTCAGGGGCAGAGGGTGTATTTCAACATCCAAGAGGAGGAGGACAGAATAGTTCAGCTCAAGGGAAGCTTTAAGGACACATCCTTTAGTATTGAAACATGGCTTTAGGAAAGGAGGCCAAGTAAGACTACTGAGCTACAGCCCCCTCAAACTCTGCCCACCTCCCTTACATTACTATGTCCCCTTCCTCCCCTCCTCCGTCTCTCCCCCAGGGTATCCGTTTTGACCCCGAAAGCCCCCAGACCCTGCGCTTAGAGTTTGCTAAAGCCAACACGAAGATGGCAAAGAGTAAGCTGATGGCCACACCGAACCCCACAAATATCCACCCTGCTCTAGGAGCTCACTTCATTGCACGGGACCCATGTAAGTTTTACGGCTGCACCACTCTAGGCTCTCTCATCCACTCTCACCTTGGCAACGCCAGTACTCAAATCCCTTCTTACCCTTTCTTTAAAATCTCTCTAAAGATGTCTAGACATTAAAGACAAATGGGAAGGAGTTGAAAACAGAATCTAACAATTGAAGGACTAACTCACCTCCACATGCATGTGCCATCTCGACTCTTCAGAAAGCCGCTTTGCTTCAGTCCAGCTGTGAAATATCGCTGTCAACGGGTTTAGGCAGCAGTCGTGTCTCTAATCTTTTTTTTTTTTTTTTTTGCAAAAACACCTGCTGGATTAATCAGATTTTTAACAGGTGGTTCATGATGGTGTAAAGATGCATTCAGAACAGGTTTCCACAGCTTTAATTTAGTCTTCATTCACAGCAAATGTTAGGAGGGTTCAGGTTCAGCATGGACAGGGTGTTTACAATGGGAGTAGGCAGGCTTAGCAATGTATAAACTAGAAATTAAAGCATTCTATTAAACATGGACCGTCCTTAACCAGTTCCTCTGTCCTGGTACTCAATGCAGCCAAACAGCATTATTAACTCCCTGCTGCTGAAATTGCACTATGACGTTTGAAATAATAATGGGAGGTCTGCCCATACTTTAGAGAGCTTCACAATTTCACATGTAAAGTCCAATCCGGTTGAACTTGTGTGGAACCCCTTCCTCTCTGTTTTGAGTGCACCCAGGGGAGAGGATGGTGTCTTGAGAGATCAAGGGGTCATGGTTATCTGACCTTCCAACTTAAGTGTTAGAGACCCCAAACAAAGTGGTAGAAGAAATTCCCAGAGTACTTCTTGACTGGTGGCAGTGTTACATGGATAATGGTTACTAGTGTGAGGATATAAGTCCATATCTGTGTAAATGATCAGCTTTAGTTAGTTTCATGTTGACTGCAAGGAATGGGATTTAATCATTGTGACATTAAATCACATTTTTCTTCAATGTCTAAAGAACTCACTCTGATATATAGGTATGACACTAATACAATTATCAGTGAATTGTGTCCTATTCTGTAGCTCTATAAAGATTTCTTCTTCCCCTTGTGGCTGCTTAAAGGCAGTCAAGGGCTCTCGAACTCTAGGGTTTTGGCTGGGGGGAGAGAGAAATTTGGGTAATGGCCAAAAGAGGTTGCTCTTATCCAAACTATGTTTACAGGGTCATTCTACATAAGGACAAAAGTGAGAACTGGTCTGAATGCACCTTTTTTAAGGTAGTAAGACTCATTTAGATAAATAATGATCAAACAGGTTATGACTACAATTAAAGTTATTAATGATGAGCAAAAAAGACACTTTATGACATCGTAACGAAACCATTAGGTGCAGCATGTTTTTATTACACATCTCTTCCTTATTTACAACATTACACCAATTATTAAAAATAAAAAACTTGCATTTTAGAAGCAGATCAGGTCCGTCAGCTTTGTTTCCTCTGCCCTGTACTTCCCCAGATGATCTGACGGGGGCAGCACTGATCCCAGCATCTCCGGATGCCTGGACTCCGTACCCCCTGTACACCACGGAGCTGACCCCGGGCCTCCCTCACGCAGCCTTCACTTACCCAGCGGCTGCTGCCGCTGCTGCAGCCCTCCACGCCCAGGTGAGGGACCAACCGGTGTGTGTTTCTCTTATCTTCTATTTCCGTTGCACTCTTTATGCTCCGAAAATAAAGGGTTCCTTTTGTTGAGAAACAAAATCTGTCTTCCATTAAATGCATGTAAGTTTCTTTCTGCATACACTTTTTTTTTTTTTCCATCAAAGAATCCCAAAAGTTTTCCTAAAAAGATAATGATGCACCCCTGCAACTTTTGACTTGTAGTCATGGTGCACTGTTAAAAGCAGATTCTTGATGCGATCCCAGTGGTTCTCTGAGGTATTACAATAACGGCACACATGTTGCTGAAGCTTACCTCGATATCAAATCTTGAAGTAGCTGTTTGCTGCACATCTTGTGCCCTGTTTTGATTTTGGGAAACAGAGAGCCTAGTCCAATTTAAAACCATGAGTTATACTGTCATTAAATCATTTGTCATTTTGAAATGGAAAATGTCTCATGGGGAAATGTGGACATTCTTTGATGTTGTGTAACATTACAATAGCATGCACTTAGCTTTAATCTCTTTGTTGCTGTCATCTGGCTGTTTTGGCCAAAGTCTTCCTTTTTTGGACGAGTCTTTGACATGTACACATTTTTCTTTTCATGCATCACTGTCCCTTCAGTGCAGACATTTAAAAAGTACTCTCTGATAAAATCATAATGTTTTGATCAGTCAGTGGGCAGAAAAAAATTAATGAGACCCTTCAGATGAAGTTTGATCCCAGCTGAGACTTTGAGGTTTGCTTTTAGACTGTTAATACTCTAAGTCATGGTGATCACTACTGTTCAGCCTGAAATCAATTCAGTATATGTTACATTTATAGATCTGGTTTGAAAATGTTCTTTGTAAACCTTTTAATACAAGCTCCATCGTGCCTACTGAAAATACAACAGATAAGGGGGGGGGGGGCAGCACAAAGTGTTTACATTGTAAGCTAATTGCCGTTTAAATGCTCCAGCTGCTAACTACTGGGCAGGGCTTTTGGTTAACAATAGCAATGGAAAATATTTCTCTTGTTGGGTCATTTAAAGTTCATTGTGATCTAACTTCCTCGAGCAGTGTTCAAGCAGAGGGGAGTGCTGCCCTGTAAAGTAGGCAGCTTTTACATGGGCCATTTTGACGGGCACAGGAGGCAGAGGAATGTCAGGTATTTGCTTGGAGAAATTGTCAGACTTGATGGGCTTCTTTGTAGGTGCCAACTTACTCTCCACGTTCCTGTTGGAATATAACTGAATGTGTGGACGCATAAAGGGAGGGAAAGGCTTTATTTAATTATAATCTGATGAAAGATCCCTAAAAAGCTCTGAGTTCTCCTCTCGGCCTTGTTAGTTTGACCGGATGACAAGGCAAGAGTCTCCAAATGTTTCTAAAACGCTGGTAACCTCCTGAGTGTATAAAGCTTCTAGCATTTGTCACCTTCGTCCTGTTTCAGTGTGTAGAAAAGTGAAGCCTCATGCTGCCACAGTTTTAGTCCCAGGTATAGAAAGTTACAGGCATACCAGCTGATCAGCCTGTGGAAATGTTTAACACATGGAGAGGTTCAACTCTCCACATTTCCATGCCTGTTAATTACTCAAGGACCATTGTCCTCAATGAGCAGCTACATGACCCACATTCTCATGGCTTCAGTGAGCACATCTTAAAGGGAAGTCCTCCTAAACCTGCTGTTGAAAAGTAAATTTAAGTGTGTAAATCACCTATATGAATTAAGGATTGACGCTCTGTAGCATGGTTTTGGTATGCTGTACATGACTGTGTTTGTTTCTTTAGATGCGCTGGTACCCTACCCCCTCTGAGACTTCCCAGCCTGGATGGAAGTCCCGGCAGTTTTGTTAGATGTTTAGTGAGTAACCTTTGGTCAAACAGTGTTTTTTTCTTAGATTTAAAAGAAATAACAAACACCCAACATCCTCTTACTGCTAACATGTCATTCAATCTACATGAATACATTGACACAATGTTTGATTGTAAACTGCATAATGTGTCAACATAACAGTAAAAGAGATTAGGCTTCTGTTATTCTGTGTTTACACTTAGTTACTTTTGTTGCATGTTGTTCCCATGCAATTATTAAAATAACCTGTGTTTATCACTTATCCACATCACTAATCTCTGTGGCCATAAGCCCAATTTCTTAAACATCTGGGTGCTGTCGTTTAAAAGATTGGTAAATTGAACATTTATTAGGGATTAACAACGCTGTGGATTAATGATTTGGATTTAGTTTTATTGGCCATGTATGCTGACAGACACAAGGAATTTGTCTTCAGTAACTGAGCTCTCAATGTACAACAAGTATAACATTAAATATAAACCCAATATAAGCAAAAAGACTAATATACATACAAGGTTAAATAAGATAAGAAGCAGAAGTTATGATTCAAAGTTAGAATCATTATAAAGAAATATGGCACACACGAAATCTAGACACGCATATAGTAGCTTTGTAATTATTTGGTTTGGGTATGTTAATGAGATATATCGGGAAAAAAAAAAAAATACATGAGACAAAGCTGGAGCTTCCATTGTTGACAAAGAACCATTAGTCACACTGATGCACATGAGGGTTACATGATTCAGTCATTATGAAGTTGTACGGTACTGACGTTTTTGAGTTGATTTCAAATTCACGTCCTGCAACCATGACATATGTAGAATAAAACATCAAATGTTAAGTAACCTTCACTTGAAATTACTAAATCATACAATCACTGTTTACTGCTTTTTAACAATGCATGATACAAATCTACAATGCCCACTTGTTTAGGAGATAATAAGCATTTTTTCAGCAAGATTTGTCTTCAATAGTTTGAGATTTTTGGGGCTTGCAGTTGTTTTTGGTGTGTTATAAAACTTGAATAGAAGTTTATTTTTTCTTGTTTAGACTAACTCTTGTTTTCCATGTTTTCTTCAGGCCTCTGGAAACCACACCTTTGTCCAGCTGAAGTGAGGTTTGCCAAGCTCTTCATTAATTTAATCAGGTTTATTTAATGGACAAATGTGCATTACTATAAACAACAGTATTTATATCTTCTCACGATTGTCTGTGGGGGGAGCCTGAGTTGAAACCATCTTGCTGTCGACAATCTGAGCTTTTCCTTGGCAACTATTGCGGTACCATCCTAGCACTTCATGTAAAATAAATAAATAAATAAATAACCTCATGCAAAGCCCAGTATCAAACTCCATGGGTCATATTTGATGAGGAGAATTTGACAAATTGAAGTTACCGTTGTTAAGCTAGTCCTTCCTCGAGTCACCGCTGCTCCTGGGAGGTTTAGAGGCGTTAAGAGTCATTGCATGTTAGTCTTTATGGCATGAATTTAGAACGCAGAGTTCTGTGTATCCTAATTTTCTTAGTGTTTGTGTTGCCTCGCTCTACCTTGGCCTAGACAGCGAAATGTTTTGTTTTTCCTGTAGAACCTTGGTCTTACCTCTGTGAAAGCTAGGCTGTTGTGTAAATGGCTTATCTCGCATGGACCTTGTGAATGCATCCCTTCGTTCTATGACAACCCCAGTCCTTATGATCATATCAGTGTCTGTCATTATTTGAGCAAAGGAAAGTACAAATATTTTTGTACTTTTTTGTGTAATGTATATTTATGCATTTTTGTGCAACTAAATAATGAAACCTGTATAAGTTGGATGGATTAGTCGTCTCTTGTGTTCTTGGTGTTACTTTATGATCCTATAATCCTGTTGACGTAGTTTTAAAGAAGAAAAAAGTGCAATTTGTTTAAAGGGGAAATGGGCATCTGTCAAAAAAAAGGAAGTATTCCGAAGGTGGCTTGTGCCATTCTGCTAAAATGAGATTGCTGTAAAACGATCTTTCAGAATGTGAAACTGGACTACAAACGAAAAAGGGTTGTTTTTTTGGGGGTGACCATTTTGAAATGGGAAGCAGGATTAGAGTGATGGAGGAATTTAGTTTGTGGTTTAGAAAATGTTTGTCTTTGTATCTGCTGTGCATAAGATGTAAAAAATATTCTCATCTTATGAATAAAAGAAGTGAATGCATCTCTGTTTGGGCATCTGTCATTTATCGCTGCAGCCAATCAAAGTTAACAAACGCTCTCACAATATGTGCTGACGACCAGAAGTGAAGTCTGCGGACCTCAGATGTTGACATCAATAATTCACAACAGCTTTTCATTTGTAATGCCCCGCTGCATTAGTGTCTCTTTGCATCATACGTGGCGTTGACCTCGACACTCTCCCCTCATAAGCTGGTGAGATTCTCTGTTCAGTCGACCGTGACGGCTCCTCCAGGGACCCCTAAGTGACTCCATACCACCAGCTGCCTGATGGTGGTGACTGTGCAGGTGGCCCACTGTTGACATCGGTCCATATTGTGCCACTCAATTATTGGTATAGAATACCTTCCACTGTAAATGAGCAATTCTCCATGACATCCATAGCCAACAATGCAGGTTACCGCATTAGTGAAATGAATTCAATACAAGGTTTGTACAGCTGTACATGAAGGACTTTGCAGCATAACTAATCGTGGCACAAGAATGAGTGTAATTGTGATTTATTATAGATGTTCATTTTATTTGTTTGAACCAGACTGATATTGCATCAAATGTTGCCTTTTGTTTAATCATGTATACATAAATCTGTGCTTGAATCCTTGGTATGAGTTCAAATGGGTTTTTTTTTTCCTTCCTGTTTTTGACCAAAAATCAAGATGCCACAATAAATGGAACGTGTTAATAGTATCTTTTGACTGCTACTTTTTAACAAATGTCTTGCCTCTTGCAGTTTTCTCAAATGTGACATTTATATTATATATTTGGGGTATGAATTAGTTTGTCAGCCTAAATGAGAGATACTTTTACGAGTCAGCCTGAGCTTAGAAAAAACTGGCATGGACATTTTCATTGATTTGAGGAATTTCTAAACATCTGATAAATACATCAAATGTTGGAATATGAAATGAACCTTAATCAAAGCACCGAAGAGGAACTTAAAATTTAACACTGGATGCTGATTAAGTGCGACAAGAGAAGTGACCTTTTAATTGTAAAGGTTAAAACCCAAACAAACAACACTTCAGAAGAATAAAATAATCCACTGAGGAATCGGCCACTTGCTGTGCATGACATCACTTTGATGCAGAATATTTGGATTGACAGAAAATCAATACAGAGTGCAAAGATGAGGATGCTGTGAGTTGGAAGGCACATTACATTTCTCTGTTCATCTGCAGACACAAGCTGTTTGCCAGAATCAGATATAAGCAGAAGATATGTATTATTCCTGGAGTATTTCATAATTTCTCGGGTCTTTTTTAGTTTCAGTATGATAGATTAAGTCTTAATTTACAGATGTCATCTGCAGGGTTCAGAAACCATAATTCTCATTTAGTACCATTTCCATGAGGTAAATCAACAGTAAGATAAACAGAACAAGACATCAGACAGAGCGTTTGATTTAATTAAATATTTCGACTTTTCTGCATTTCTGTTCCTGTCTATGAAAAACAATCTTTAATGGATGAAGCTCAGATTCTCGTAGGACTCTGGCTCAATGATATCTCTAAGAAGTGGATCCCAGTGACTACAATCTTAAAACCATGCTGTGGAGACTGATGAATAAAATAAAATAGGTAGGATGAAATGTGGAGGAGAACTGAACATATCTAGTATAGTTTTTTATGAGCAGAATGTGCATGTGCAGCGCCTTGACATCCTCTAAATCAAGCCAACTAGATACATTTATTCAAATCAGGATTTAACTGAATAAAAATAAGAAAAAAGCTTCTTAATGCATTTTCACCGCATCATTTTATTGTTTTGCTTTTTTGTCTCCAAAGTTTCTTTAATTTCGTACTGCCTGAGAGTTGGACCCTTTCAAATCTTACTCATCACATCTGTTTGTATAGATGAAGACAAATTACTGAAATCTATTGAACAGATCAATAAAACACCCGGAAGCTGGAGCATCAATGCCCCCAAAGGTTTCTAGGACGATGTCGCCCTCTTCTGGCCTAATACCTACACGCCTGGCAGACATGAGGCAGCAAGAGAAAGCAGGTAAAGCTGATGCTGAAAGAAGAGGAATATTTATGACAGCTGAATCTGTTACTGTGTCAGCTGGGCTGTCAGAAAAATCAGGATTATTTTTACATTTCAAGATCAAACTGCAGAAGATTACAAATGTCCTTTTCCTTAAGAATATCTATAGAGAAAACATTATTACACATTTTCTTAAGGGGCATATATTTAGGCAGCTAGCAGATGTTAATATCCTGTGTGTTTATAAAGTAACAAACAACACTGGATGCTTTTTCGTGTCAAGTGAAACCAGCTCTAATCCACAAAGCTTTTTACTCATAACAGTGTTCTTCTGTGCTGTATTGTATTTTATCGCTAATTTGATACAGTTTATTTGTGTGCTTGTTTTGTATTCTCTGAACTGACAGACTTTAGTTTCCATGTGGATGAATAACTTTTCATCACCAGGATTCAGTTATTTGGCAGCTCTTGCCTCCTCTCACAAAGCCTGTGTGTCAGTTCTCCTTAAACTGTCAAAACACAGTAAATGGTAAAAATGGACTTGAGGTCAGTTTACGTATATAACGCTTTTCTGACTACTCAAAGCACTTTTACACTGCATGTCACACCGACCCATTCACACACTGATGGCAGAGGTCGATATGTAGTGAGACCATCAGAAGTAACTAATCCCATTCATTCCTACGCCGCAGATGAAGCTGCAGGAGCAACTTGGGGTTAAGTGTCTTGCCCAAGGACACATCGGACATGTGGCTGCAGGAGCTGGGGATCAAACCCTCGACCTTCCGGTTGAGAGACGACGACTCTACCAACTAACAAACTGTTTACATTGTTTATATAATCCATTTTTAAAAAGAGAAATAAAATACACTGAATGAAAATCTGTATTTCTTTGTTGAGGTTATCAATATACTTACTTTATACTTATCATAGGCCAGCCTTTCTTTTTTAAAGGAAACAATCTGAAGAACTCTGAAGCATCTTTGAACATGAAGTGAAAGCTTTTTACACTAACTCTGCGGAGGATAACTACAGCTGTCATCAGTGATAGTCAGTTAAGTATGCTAATTTCACTATACAACATTTTACTAAAGAAACAAGTATTTAATATGTCTTACAATTACACTGTCTTCTACAAAGAAACTGTGTTTATCACAATAAGTATTCTGTCTATTCATATGTACTCGTGATGCTTTTATGTTTTTGATTGGTTCATCATTTTTGTAGGGTTCATTATATTTATGATACAGTTGGTTGGGGCCATTTTGAACTTTATATCCGGCTGTACCTTAGATTATAGGAATAAAATAACTTCCTTCACGGGCTGTTCTCTTAATATTTACAGTCTGTTATCTGAGTGACTTGTGAGCTCTCACAATAACTGTTGTGAAGGAAAAAGTACGATAATTACCTCAAGGATGTTGTTAATTAGGCAAATAAAGTAATAGAAAATGGAAATACTCACCAGAACAGAATTTGGATCAAATAAAAGCTTTATCTAAAGTGCTAATCAAAACTCTCAGGGCGCTGTTTTCCAGAATGCCGTTAACTTGCTCGAGTGAATAAAGCACTTTGGTCCAAGTTCGTTGTCTTTTAATGTGCTCTATGAATAAAATGACTTGAGTTAACTTCAATGTGTCACTTACATCCCATCCCACTATTTCTTATTAATACATGGAAACACAGAAATTACATTTTGTTACAAGTTCTGGCCCTGAAAGCAACAAATAATCCAAGAATGGGGGAAGCCAATGGTCACTTTTCACCAACAGGTAATTTTTCTATGTTCAAGTCAACTTTGTAAAAAAATAAATATTTAAGTTTGTATATTCTTCTTCTTTTATATTTCCAACAGAGTTTCAAAGAGTTTGCGTTCACATTTTGCAAAGGCACAGTATTATATTGGTCCAAGTAAACAGTACAATATGATCAAATTCAAAACCAATTCTATTTACAGTGTATATAAATAGGATTGCAGAAAATATTGAAAACTGTAAAATTCACCTGTACGCTGACGATGCAATGTTATATGCCATTGCACCCTCCAATAGTTAAACCCTTTCATTGCCACAGACCGATTTTAACTTCCAGCAAACTCTTGCTTATCTTAAACTGTAACTGAACCCCGAAAAACGAAATATATGATCTTCTCAAGACTGAACTTTGAACCCATTTATGCCACATTGTCAACAGTAGACAACGTAAACATTGAGTGTGTTCAACAGTTTAAATATTTTGGTATCTGGCTATATCATGATTTGTCGTATATGTCTCACATTTCTTGTTTATCTGTAAAAATAAGACCTCAACTTGGTTTTCTGTATAGGAACAAATCCTGCCTAACAAAAAGATTGTCCAGGCTACAATACTGCCCGTTTTGGAATATGGAGACACACTCTACATACACACATCTGCTTCTGTCTTGAAGCCTTTAGATGCCTTATACCACAGTGCTCTTCACTTTATCACAAGCGACAGATTTCAAACTCATCATTGTGACCTTTATCGTTCTGTAGGCTGGTCCTCGTTGGGTCAACGAAGAAAGCAGCACAGTATTTTGTTTATTTACAAGGCACTCATAGGTAAACTCCCTTCTTACCTTCTTACTACTCTAATGTCCATAAACATATCGAGCCATTCGACTAGCTCTCAAAACTGGATCACTTTGAAAACACTGAGGTTTAGAACTGAATGGGGAAAGACTGCCTTTAGTGTTGCTGCACCCAGTATGTGGAATGACCTTCAGAGGACAGCTAAGTTGCCCTCTCTTGTTTCATACAGCGTTTTTAAAGATCTAGTATCCAAACTACCTCAGGAAGAAAATTGCAACTGTTTCACAATGTGAATTCATTTAAATGGACATGGTTTCCATGTGTGAATATGTGTTTCAGTGTCTAGATGCTATTATTGTTAACTGTTAATATGTTTATATTTGTGCTGTTTCTATTTTTGTATTGCTGCAGGGCACCCCTGGAAAAGAGACCTCAGTCTCAGTGGGTCCTCCCGGCTAAAATAAAGGATAAATAAAAACAATACATATATATAAATGTTGCAAAATTTTGCAACAAATGTTCTGTAGTTCTGTAGCACGCACATTTGTACAGTCTATGATTTGTACACCGCTTGCCGAGGCTGCTATACAAAGTATCAAGCAGCTCATTCACACATTGAATGTTGCCTTTAGGAGTCATTTTAGGTTCAGTGTCTTGCCCAGAGAAGCTTCAAGAAGAGGACTAACCAGCCAACCTACAGATTAGAGCACTGGTTCCCATGCGGTCCTGGTCATCTGATCTTGCCAAAATTAGATTTGCACATGTTGACTAAAATCATGATAAAACACTTACTGGATGGTTTATATAAAGGGCTTTTGGTAAGAACAAGTGTGTGTAGACCTCTTCTGTTGGAATGCTTTCAATCAATTAAAACTATTACAATTGATGTTCATTTTTTCAGCCACATATCTATTTGTTTTGTTTTTTTACTGATTGGGTCCTAAGGGGGCCAAACTTTTTTTTAGATAGAAGTGGGGGGGCTCCAAGGAAAAAAGGTTGGGAACCACTGGATTAGAGGACAACCCACAGCACAGCTGAGAAAGCCAAGTCAGTAATCTAATTT